AGGTTCAAGACTTCATTCCTGAGGCTCAAAGCTCTGACCCCATGGAAGACGCAGGGGCCCTGGGATAATGGGTCGCTCTCCAAGCCGTCATCGGCCACTGGCACCCTCAGCGTAGGCAAGTTTTACACTAGCATATGAGAATAACTGAGGCCACGGAAGTTTCTAGAAAGCATGAAGGGCAATCATGGAGGCCAGGGCACTGAATCTTCCTCCACACAGTTGCCACACACCCACCTTACCCCAGCTCTCAAAAGCCTCCCTCAGGAGCTAACCTCCAGGTTGGCTGAGGGTGACATCATCATGGTTGAAACAGCAACACCAGAGGCCTTGATGCTAGCTCTCTCGAACTGAGGCACGGACCTTCCCACCGCCGCAAAAGAGAGGCCCCATTGAGGGGCAATGTTCTCTGGGGGAGCCCTTCCTTTGTTCCCTCTTTTCCCTGGGTGGGAGAAAGGCTTGAGAAGTCAAGCTTGAACAGACCCCACTTGGGGCCCAGGATGCCTATCCCCGTGCCTAGCCCACTTTCACCCCCAACTCTCAGTATCAATGAGGATAGACTAGGTCAAGCTGTGCTAGCACTCAACCCCCAAATTGTGGGACTTCTTCCACCAAAGGTTTGTTTTATGCTCCCAGGACATGTGTACCTGTCAATGTCTCCTAGTCAATGTCTCCTCCCTCCAGGATGCAGGCTAATATTACAGCCACTCTCTCAAATCTCGCTGATCGCCGGAGTGGAGGGAAGGGAATCTTCGGAAAGCCCCAACTTATAATTAAATGTTCAGCCCAGAAATGACAACTCACTGGCCAGACCCAACCAGAAGAGGCCAGGAAACGCAATCCAGCTACGTCCCTCTGGGAAGCCAACTGGAAATATTTGGGGAACAATATTTGGTGATGACTGCCACAACCTTTTTCAAAGGCCTGGGACTGACTTTTAGGCCGTGTGCCTGGTCCCAAGGGAAAACCTTAGGCCTAAGGGTGCAGCTGGAAAAAGGGAGATCCATGCATACTGTTTGTTGTACTTGACCCGGCACAGGAAGTACAACAGGGGCTTCTGGGTGAGTAGCCCTTGCATCTGAACTGTCTGGACCACGTGCTTCAGGCCTCCCCCATCGCCTGGGCTGGCGTATGGTCTCATGTTCACCAGTCTCCCCCCTCCTGCTGGGCGAGCTGCAGATGATCAACGACTACCCCAACCGTGGATTTTTCTGGAAGCGTGGAGGTGATGGGAGCATGGTGATGGGTAATGGACCAGCAGAGAGTGATGAGCTCATGAGACCCTAGCTCATCACACCCGCATGAAAAGATCAGTCAACGTTAATACCAAGTGATGACCTTATGTTCTGTAAACCTACACTCTAGCAAGCATAGTAGAGAACCCCAGAGGCATAAGAAATAGCCCTTGCTCGCAAGAAGCTTATAATCTATGAGGCAAGTTAGGACGCTATTACCTTGTGTCAGACTTTTTCTCTAACGGCAAACGAATGGTACCAATATTAAGTTAGCAGCTTGGCCAAGGCAGAATTCACTGCAGACGTGACTGGAATGGAAAGGCTTTGTGGGAGAATTAGCCGGTCTGGGGCAGATGAGGGGCTTCACGTAGATAAAAGGGGAAGTGAGGAAAGGCATGAAAATCCTCACGCCTGCTCTTTGCACATGTGTGAATAGAACGCACCATAAAGTTGGAAGTGGAGGGAGAGGTTACAGAAGGTCTTGAATATTAATCTAAGTGTGTGTGTGTTGGGGGGGGTCACTTTATACTTTTTGCAAGGAGAGGCTGGAGGGCCAGTGACCAGGGATACTTTGCAGTGGATTCTTTTTTTTTTTTTTTTTTTTAGTGGCCATGTACCTTCTCTCTCTCTCTCTCTCTCTCTCTCTTTAATGTTCATTTATGTATTTTGAAAGAGAGTGTGTTTGTGCACATGAGCAGGGGAGGGGCACAGAAAGAGGGGGAGACAGAATCCCACGCAAGTTGGCTGTTGGAGCAGAGCCAGACGTGGGGCTTGATCCCAAAACCTGTGAGATCATACATGGCCTGAGCCGAAATCCAGAGTTGGAAGCTTAACCGACTGAGCCACCCAGGCGCCCCCACAATGGATTCTTATCTTAGGCAGAAGGTTGGGCCAGTCAATGATTTCCTAAACTTGGCTGCACATCAGAACCCCAGCCCCACCCCTCCCCACACCCACCCCTTACTATAAGCTTACTATATGTTAAAAATAGATCTTCCTTTCTAAAAGTCGCCCCCGCAATACTCAGGACCTACCCCCAGAGATTTTGCTTCAGTGGATCTGGGACGGGATCCAGAAATCCGTACCCTTCACAAGCTTTCACGCAGTGACAGCTCGTCTGAGAATCCACTGTGATGGGCAGTTTCTACCTAGAAGTGGCACACATCAAAAGTTGAATTTTTTTATTTTTTATATTAAAAAGATTTTCTCTTAATTTTTAATGGGCATTTATTTTTGAGAGATAGAGGGAGACACAGAACCCGAGGCAGGCTCCAGGCTCCGGGCTGTCCGCACAGAGCCCGATGCGGGGCTCGAACCCACGAACCGTGA